CTCCACACACAATTCAGTTTGCAGGATCTGGGCATAAATAGGCAACATAAGAACCACTAGCAAAGTTTAAGGCCATAATCTTTCAGTGAACTCAATACATGCAGGCCCGTGTGCCAAAGCAGAACCCCACTGAAGTCCATAGTCAGTCACCTGCATAGCGCTCAAGACAGGATCAGGATCTGATTCTAAGTTTTAGTGTAAGATCTAAAACAAATTACATTTTGTCGAGCAATTTCTATCATCACAGCGCTCCAGGAAAGTAGTGTATGGAATGTTTGATCATCCAAGAATTACATCTTCCACAGAGGTAACACCTAAAAGTATGACAGACTACAGTACTATGATTTGGCAGTTCATAGCACACTTATTCAGACAGGAAACAGATACCTTACTATCTGCTTTACTGCAGTTGATCACTTGCATTTTTGTTCAGATGCTTCCTATTTAAATTTATAGCACATCATTCTTTTAAAAAATATCTATCCTAAAGGAAAACATGGGCTAGCAGACTGAAAGTTCAGAAGATAAGGAACCCTTTTCAATATAAATAGTCTATGAAATAATTTTCAAAGTGCAATTTTACTATATTCTGGAAAACAATCAAGTGCCTCTTTCTTGATTTTTTTTCTGATGTTCATGTATTGATGCTGATAATATATTGGCAACATAAGTAATAAGTAGAATTAAATACCAAAAGTTATTTTATTTCAAAGTATTTCTCTCATGAATCTAAAGTGCCATCATAATTATGCCAAAAATTGAAAGTCTTCTATGATAGCTTTGCTACGATGGATGTGGCTAAAGCTCATCTGGAGTAGCTTTAATGCTGGTAGTATGTGTCACAGCCCTATGCTCTGTCATGGCGTCTGGATAGCCAATTGTCGGTCAGAAGGTCACATCGGTGTCGTGTGCAACACCTTGGTGCCGTGTGCAGCGCCTTGGTGTCGTGTGCAACACATTGGGGCCGTGTGACCATTCTCGAACCTTCCGCCTCGTCAATTGTAGGTCACATTGGTACCATGTGCTACAATTCCAGTGTGCCATGTGCATAAGCTTAGCGTGCCGGGTGCAGTGTCTGTTTACGTAGAGGGCACCAGCTCGGAACCTGGTTGGTGTAGGAGCGGGGAACCAATTAGATGCTAGCACGTGCAAGGGTCTTCGAACAAAAACTATGTCCCTCACCTAAATCAGCAGGAGTGTCCATGTGTTAGCTGAAAGGCCTGATCACCCTTTCAGCCAGGATCTCCTCCGGATTTAGCTAGCTTGTGTCATGTTCTTTCGGGTTACATCTCATCATGTCCTTGGTGTCTGTACTGCTGGTCAGCTGTGCCTGGAGTATGGTATGCATGTATTAATTTTCGTAGACATTCTGTTGGTTAGGCCCTTTTTCTTTATTACTTGGTACCAAATCTCATGTACAGTGTATAGAGGGCAAATTGTTACAGTTCGCTCAGTTTTGTATGCTTGTTCTGGTTTTTGGTAAATAGTTGGTTGTAAATTATCTGATTCCTTGTTGTTAAATGTATATAGCTTGTTTTATATTACTGCTTTCTTGTTGTTAAGTGTACATAGATTGTTTTATAGTGCTGCTCTGGTGACAGTTTTGGCTGGTTACTTGTTCCTATTTCAATTGAGTTTATATTGTTAGTTGGTAAAAGTGCTCCTCCCCAGCCCAAGTTGTGATTTTTTCCC